GACATGAATATCACGTGGCAACATACAATTTTTTTTCTAGTGCACCTTGGCGACTTGGGAGAGAAAAATACTCAAGATACTTTTTTATTGATTCGGTAAGATGAGGCTTAAGTGTTTTTCATCAAGAATGTGGTTCTCTTGTTTGATATATTTGGTTTTTGAGATTGTTATGATAAAACCTCTATTTGGTTATTGAGATTGTCATAGTAAAATCTCTATTTAGTTCTAGAATGTGAGATATTGGATCGAACTCTAGTATGGAATTAAGCATGAGGTCGAAGTCTATTCGCATGCTGTTGTCAGAGTAATGCGTGTTATAGTCGAAGTTTGTTCTAACATGCATTAGTAAATATTGCTAAGTTTGTTAGCATGTTGAATTGGGTCTTGCTTGTAAGCTCGATTGTTTAAGTTAGCTTGTACCCCATGTTAGCTTGTAATGGATAATTGTTAAAAAGCTTATTAAGTTAGTGTGCTAGTTTTCTTATAAATAACATGTTAGTCTCTCATCTTGCATAAGGAAAAATAGGAAGATAAAATCCTAATTCAAGAGAGAGAGAGGTTATTTGTTATTCTTGTATACTTGTAATCTTGTTTTATAGATAAATGAAAGAATAGCAGTTTATAACCAATCCTTATTGTTTCTTCTTGTTCTTCTTGGTTGTTTTTTCGTTAACCCTAACCCTTGTGTGTTTCTTGATCATAAAGAAACTGTTTATATTTTGTTTCAAGGCATCCTATTCACAACAAGTTGGTGCGGTGAGCGTGGAAAAATGCCTTCAACAAAGTATGAGATTGAAAAGTTCACCGGAGTGAACGACTTCGGTCTGTGGTGCTTGAAGATGAAAGCTCTACTAGTTTAGCAAGATTGTTTGGAAGCGTTGAAAGGAGAGGCAGCTATGTACGTTACGTTAACGACAAAAGAAAAGACGACCATGATTGAGAAAGCCCACAATGCAATATTGTTGAGTCTTGGTGACAGGTATCAAAGGAGACTACAACATTGGGGTTATGGGTGAAACTTGAAAGTTTGTACATGATCAAATTTCAGGTAAATCGACTCTACCTGAAGCAAGCTTTGTATTCATTCAAGATGAGTGAAGATAAAGTGTTGGCTGAGCAGTTGGATATGTTCAACAAGCTGATTCTTGATCTTGAAAATGTTGATGTGAAGATCGATGGTGAAGATCAAGCATTGTTATTGTTGTGTGTTTTGCCCAGAACACATGCTCACTTCAAAGAAACTCTCTTGTATGGAAGGGAGTCCCTGAGCTTTGAAGAAGTTAAATCAGCCTTGTATTCTAAGGACTTGAACAAACAAAAGGAGCATAAAATTTTGACAGTGGGTGAAGGTTTGATCGTTAAGGGAAAATTCTTGCAAAAGGATGGTAAGTTTGACAAGAAGAAAGGTAAAAGTCAGCAAAAGTCTTATAGTGGTGAAACATCTGGTATTCGATGTTATCACTATAAGAAGGAGGGTCACACAAGAAAGTTGTGCCCTGAATGCCTGAAAGATAATAAAGGTAAGGATAATGGCAATGCAACCATTGCTTAAGATAATTTCGACTCATCTGATGTTCTTGTGGTTTCAAGTGGCGACGCAAGAAAAGAGTGGATTATGGATTCAGGTTGCACTTCGCACATGACTCCAAAAAGAAAATTATTCGAGGAGTTATGTGATCAAGATGGTGGATCAATGCTGTTGGGAAATAATAAATCTTGCAAAATTATATGTATTAGATCTGTGAGATTCAAGCTCCATAATGAGTCAATAAGGTTATTGACTGAAGTCAGGTATGTACTTGATTTGAAGAGAAATTTAACTTCTCTTGGTGAATTAGACAGGAAAGGATATGTTTTTCAAGGAGAAAAAAGTATCCTAAGAGTCATGAAGGGGTCGAAGGAAGTCTTGAGAGGCGTGAAGAAACAAGGCTTGTATACGCTTGAGGCTGAGGTTGTAAGTGGTTCGAAAAATGTTGCATCCACGAAACCTGTGTCGAAGACAAAATTATGGCACATGAGATTGGGCATGTCAGTGAAAGATCCCTGGTCGAATTGGGGAAGCAGAACCTACTAGGAGGTGACAAAGTAGAAAAGTTAGAGTTTTGTGAATCTTGTGTATTTGGTAAATCCTGTAGGTTGAAGTTTAACAAAGGCAAACAAAGAACACATGGATCTCTGGATTATATTCATGCTGATCTTTAGGGTCCTGCAAGGAATCCTTCACACTCAGGTGCAAAGTATTTTCTATCCATCGTTGATGACTATTCCAGAAAGTTATGGATTTTCATCCAGAAGACGAAGGATGAAACTTTTAAGAATTTCAAAAGTTGAAAGGTTATGGTTGAAACTCAAACTAGCAGAAAGGTTAAAAGTTTGAAATTTGACAATGGCCTTGAGTTCTGCAATAAAGCGTTCGATAATTACTGTGTTGAGTCTGGGATTTTAAGGCATAAGACTGTAGCAGGTACTCCTCAATAAAATGGTTTAGCTGAGAGATTCAATCAAACAATCCTTGAAAGGGTTAGATGCATGTTGGTTAGTGTTGGATTGAAGAAGAGATAGACAACAGTCGAAATTATTCTTATCTTAGGAGGCATACCTACGGAAGGTTCTCGAAAAATTTGGTATGTCGAATTCAAAGCCTGTTGTGACTCCAACAAACCCTCAATACAAGCTAAGTATAAATCAGTGTCCCAGCACTGATGTTGAAAGAACTTATATGAATAGCATTCCATATGCTAATATAGTAGGTTCTTTGATGTATGTTATGGTCTGTACTAGACCCGGCATAACATATGTAGTAAGTCTTGTAAGCAGGTACCTGGCGAATCATGGAAAGGTTCATTGACAAGTATTGAAGTGGATTCTAAGGTACATAAATGGGTCTCTGAATAAAGACCTAATTTATGGTGGAGCCTTGAGTGAAGATAGTAAAGCAGCAACTGAAGGATACGTCGACTCTAATTATACAGATTGTATGGATTCCAGAAAATCTATTTCTGGGTATCTGTTGACTATGTTTGGGACATTAATCAGTTGGAAAGCAACACTTCAGAAGGTTTTTGCCTTATCTACCACTGAAGCGGAATATATCTCCCTAACTGAAGTTGTGAAGGGAGCATTATGGCTTGAAGGTTTTGCAAAGGAGCTGGAACTTCAAGGTTGAGTTATCACTGTTAAATGTGATTGTCAAAGTGAAATACGCCTGTCGAAGAATTCAGCCTATCATGAGCGAACCAAGAACATTGATGTGAGGCTGCATTTTTTCAGAGGGGTAATCGAGCATGAAGAAGTCCAAGTGCTGAAGGTTTCGAAAGATCATAATATTGCTGATATGATCAACAAGATGTTGCCCAATTGCAAGTTTTTCCACTGTATGTAGTTGATAAAGCTGCATGAAGAAAGTTAGTTTCTTGATGTTATAGAGTTAGATTCAAGGTGGAGATTTGAAAAATATTGGATCGAACTCTAGTATGGAATAAAGCATGAGGTCGAAGTCTGTTCGAATGCTGTTGTCAGAGTAATGCGTGTTATAGTCGAAGTTTGTTCTAACATGCATTAGTCAATATTGCTAGGTTTGTTAGCATGTTGAATTGGCCCTTGCTTGTAAGCCCAATTGTTTAAGTTAGCTTGTATCCTAAGTTAGCTTGTAATGGGAAATTTTTTAAAATCCCATTAGGTTAGTGTGCTAGTTTTCTTATAAATATCCTGCTAGTCTCTCATCTTGCATAAGAAAAAATAGAAAGATAAAATCCTAATTTAAGAGAGAGAGGTTATTTGTTATTCTTGTAAAATCTCTCATCTTTGTACGTAATAAGATTCATGGGCATATTTTTAAAAGATCAATAAATTATTTTAGCATAACTCTCAAGAAAAAATTCATAGGGAGAAAAATATGACAAGAGGTTAGACTGAACCTCTATAAATCCTAGTGTAATTCTCTATCTCTAAGTCTTTTATTTCTGTTGAATAATCATCTTTCATATCTAAATCCTTATTTCTATTTTCTGATGCTTATATCAGAACTAACATAAATTGTTTTTCAAAGTTAATTTTATTTTTTAATAAATCGCAGTTTCTGCACTTCATAATTCACCTCTCTCTTGTGTTTTAAATTACTTATTCAACGTCATCCTTCCAAAATAAAAAAGAATCTCAAGATATAATATTACACAATAACTTATGAAGACTCTTCTAAACACAAAATACGGGCTTAATTAACAACTATTCACACTAGATAAGTCTTCAAACCAAGAAAATCATCTCCTAAATTAGCAAAAGTTATCTAGTAGAATCTAATAGGATTTAATAAAAAAGCTGAAACAACAAATTAAATATTCTTTAATAAAAGTAAATCCAAACCTTTAATTAAATTATATCCAATAAACATCTTCTTCATTTAGAAATATGATTTAATAAAATCCTATTCAACTAGATTTGCATCAAAATATTTTTTCCAAACATAATCTTTGTAAACTTTTAGAAAAACTAAAATAGAATGAATATTGTAATCAACGTTGAAGCAAAATGTCTCAGAATTAACCAGAAACACGAATGACATCAATTGAAAATTTTTGAGATCACTTGAAGAAATAAACGTGATTTCTCAATCTTCCTTTATCATGGACCATGTAAGAAATAATTTGATAGGTTTTGGTTTTGGTTTATGATTTAGATATACTACTTTATAGATACTATTTTTGATTTATTAAGTTGTTGAATCAATCCAACATATCCGAAATAACATTTTCACCATTTAAGCAATGAAATAACTGAGTTACAACATCATGCAGACAAAACACAAAAGACATAACAGTTTTCAACACTTTCTAGAAGTTCTATGATAGCATGTTTAATGCATGTCAAATATTGACTCCATTAAAAACCAAAATAGAATGTATCTAAGGTAAAAAATATGACAGTACAAATAAACCATGAATGCATGTTTTTCTGTCCACCTTTGAATTAATTGTTATCCAAGCTTACCTTTTTCAACCTTGTTATGGTTGATTTGCAGCATTCCTTTCAGGACCAAGATATGTAAAATCCGGTTTTAGATTGATATATGCATGGTAATGTGTTTTCTCCCTCATTAAACTAGGACCAAGATAGGTAAAGTCATTTTTTGGGATCAAAATTGGTGGTAGGATTTTAGCAGCCGGTGAGGGTGCTATGAAATTCGGTTTCTCCTTATCATCTCTGTAGCAAGGTTTTTTCTGAGGGGATATATCCATATCTTGTTCCATCATTCTCTTGTGTGACACTTCAATAGGTGAAGATTGCTTTGTGTCTTCTTCTGAGCATTTTACTAAGTCACTGTACATAGGAAATGGATACTTTTGTACTGATGATTTACACGGCTGGCGAATGGGAGACCACTGTTGAGTTGGAGGAAGATTAATTTGGTTTCTTTTCCAAACAAGACAGCCAACGAGGTAATTATTGTTGGTTTTGTTATCATTAGAGTGATAGAATCCATGTTTTGCAAGTAGGTTGAGTATTGTGTAACTACATGGACACACATATAGATCAACACCACTTCTAACTTTTGCAAGCCCTACCCTTCCTTCCATTACATACTTTCTTCCAACCTGTGAAAACCATACATGCAAAATTCATCAATTTAAATTTAATCAAGAATGCATACTCAAATCATATTATTCATATGTTCACCTTTTTTATTCCTTCCAATTTTTCTTTTGAAGATTCTTCTTTCCAATATAGGGACACAACCTGGAATTATTGCATGCATTGTAAAATATACATTTTTTGGATGCAACACGCTGGCAATAAATAAATGAATAGTAATTTCTTACCATCAATCTTCTGTTAGGTGAGTTTGGAAGATCTCTAATGTATGTTTCAAATTCATGTAATTTTACTTTCCCTTTCACTTCAACACGTTCACTCCATTTGATTTCGGGCATCTTTTCACCACTACACAATCAATGATAAGACAGATGATTTAATAGAAAAGATTCACAAATGTGAGTTATTATTGAGTTGTCTACTATGCAATGAAAAGTCTAATATTATTAAGCTCTACTTTATAATTTTTCCATTTCATAAAAAGTATCTTATTGATATTTTTTCTATATCTCAAAATAAATTTTAGAATACAAATACAATATTTTTTTTCTCACTACTATGCCTTTATTTATTAACTTTTATGTTTTTCAACTATTCTTCTAACTATAATAAATAAGGATATTTTAGTAAAAAATATTAATTTTATCATTAAAATCAACATATCTAATTATTTTCTTAAAAATCGCACAGAGCTCAAATAAGATATCTATTATGGGACGGTGAGACTATTTAATACTTTTCCTAAATATTGAGTTTGTCAAATACTATTTATATGCAACCACGATGTAGTCATTTAGTTTGTCATAAATATCTACTTAGCGTTGTATAAATATTGAACTTTTCTACCTCTTACAAAAGCATAATACCCACTACTTATCAAGTATTATGAATGGATTAGAAGACAATGGATATTATTTTTTTCTGTTCTAGTTGTAAGATTTTGGATAGAACTTTAACTCTGTCGAGGAATAACTTTTATGTGTTTCGACAGGAAATAAGCATGAAGTCGAAGTTGGGTCACATGCTGATGTCAAAGGGTTACATATTGTAGTCGAAGCTAGTTCTAGTATGTAATGTCAAAATATATTATTGACTTATTATGTCAAATTGGGACTTGTGTTAAGGATCCAATTGTTTAGTTAACTTGTATTGTAAGTTAGCTAGTTAGTCTATAAATAGGTTAGATCACTCAGGTTGTTGAGTGAGGTTATTATTCATTTGTAATTATTTGTAAACCCTAAATGAGAAAGTGAATAATAAACAACTTGTACTAATCCTTCTTCTTTATCTCTTTGTTATAACTGTTTCATTCTTCACCCAAGAACTATGTTTCTCAATCTTTATTTGTTGATAGGTATTGTTTGTGATCACAACAAACTGGTGCAGTGAGCTTGGAGAAGATGTCGTCAACAAAATTTAAAATTGCGAAGTTTATCGGAGTTAATGACTTCGATTTACAGCGTTTGAAGATGCGAGCCCTTCTTGTTCAACATGGTTTGCTAGAAGAATTAAAGGGAAGATATGTCATGGATACTGCATTGACAGAGAAGGAAAATACAACGATGATCGAGAAAGTCCACAGTGAAATTGTTTTGAGTCTTGGTGATAAGGTTCTCAGGTAAGTTTCGAAGAAGATGACAACAACTGGTGTTTGGCTTAAACTCGAAGGGTTGTATATGACAAAATCCTTGGTGAATCGTTTTTACTTGAACCAAGCTTTACATTCATTCAAGATGAATGAAGAAAAACAATTCACGAAGCAGTTGGATGTGTTCATCAAGCTAATTCTTGATCTTGAAAATATTGATGTTACCATCAATGACGAAGATCAAGCATTGTTATTTTTGTCTTCTTTACCTAAGTCACATGCTCACTTCAAAGAAACCCTCTTGTATGGAAGAGAATCCATGAACTTTGAAGAAGTTCAAGCAACCTTATATTCGAAGGATTTGAACAAAAGAAAGGAGCAGAAACCATCATCATCAGTTGGTGAAGGGTTGTCCGTGAAGGGGAAATCCTCGAAGAGAGATGGTAGGTTTGAGAAGAAGAAAGGTAAAACTCAGCAGAAGCCTTATGCTGGTGATATTTATGGGATTAAGTATTACCACTGTAAGAAGGAGGGTCACCCAAGAAAGATGTATCCTGAGCGCCTGAATAATCACGGAGGTAAGGACAACGACAGTGCTGCTATTGTGCAAGATGATTATGAAGCATCTGATGTCCTTGTGGTTTCGAGCAACAACTCTTGCAAAGAGTGGATTATGAATTCTGGATGTACTTGGTATATCACTCCAAACAAGGATGTGTTTGAAGAATCATGTAATCAAGATAATGGATCAGTGCTGCTGGGAAACAATAAAGCTTGCAAGATTGCAGGTATTGGATTTGTAAGATTTAAGCTCCATGATGAGTCAATAAGGCTATTGACTGGGGTTAGGTATGTACCTGACCTTAAGAGGAATTTAGATTCTCTTGGTGAATTCGACAAGAAAGGATATGTCTTCAAAAGAGAGAAAGGTATTCTGAAAGTTATGAAGGGGTCGAAAGAAGTCATGAGAGGCGTGAAGAAACAAGACTTGTATATCCTTGAGGTTGAGGTTGTAAGTGATTCGGCAGATTTCGCATCCATGAAACCGACGTCAAAGAAAAAATTATGGCACATAAGATTGGGCCATGTCAGCGAAAAAGGCTTGGTCGAATTGGGGAAACAGAACCTGCTAGGTGGTGAAAATTTCAAAAACTTGGAGTTTTGTGAATCTTATGTATTTGGAAAATCTTGTAGGGCGAAATTTAACAAAGGTAAACAAAGAACACATGGATCCCTTGATTACATCGATGCTGATCTTTGAGGGCCTTCAAGGAATCTCTCACATTCAGGATCAATGTATTTCTTATCCATAGTTGATGACTATTCCAAAAAATTATGGGTATTCATTCAAAAGACTAAGGATGAAAATCTTTATAATTTCAAAAGTTGGAAGGTTCTGGTCGAAACTCAAACTGGCAAAAAAGTTAAGAGTTTGAGAAGCGACAATGGGTTTGAGTTCTGCAATGAAGCTTTCAAAAGTTACTATGTCGATTCTGGGATTGCAAGGCATAAGACTATAACAGGTATTCCTCAACAAAATGGCTTAGCTAAGAGATTCAATCAAACAATCCTTGAAAGGGTAAGGTGCATGTTGGTTAGTGCTAGATTGAAGAAGGTGTTTTGGGCGGAGGCTGTTTCGACAGCAGCTTATCTGATAAATAGATGTCCCTCGACTGCTTTGGGAATGAAGACACCTGAAGAAGTTTGGTCGGGACAACCACCTGATCTCAAAAAACTGAGAGTATTTAGCTGTTTAGCCTATGCTCACATTAGGCAAGACAAGGTCAAACCTAGAGCTCTGAGATTGCCTGTTCCTTGGATATCTAAAAGGGGTCAAAGGTTATAGGCTATGGTGCCTAGAACCAGGTCATAAAAGATGTATCATATGTCATGATGTAGTTTTCAATGAAGTCGAGACGGCGTTCAAGAAAACTGATGATGTTGGTCAAAGTGCAGAAATCTCTAAAGAGGATTTGGAACATGTAGAGATTCCTGTTCAGGTGGAGTATAGTGATGCTGAAGTGCATAACCCATATGAAGTCGAAGAAGAAGAGAAAGATGCTGAAGACACTAAGGAAACTGTCGATGACTACCTACTGGCAAGAGATAGGTCGAGAAGAGTCATCAAGCTACCTCAGAGACTTGTTGATGCAGATCTTATAGCTTTTGCCTTAATCTCTGCAAATGAGGTACTTAAGGAAGAACCTAGAGTTTACAAAGAAACTATGAGTCGAAATAAGACTGAATGGCAAAAATCCATGGATGACGAGATGAAATCTCTTCATGATAATAACACTTGGGAGCTGATTGAGAAACCTACAGGAGCAAGGTTAGTCAGTTGTAAGTGAATTTTCAAGGTCAAGGAAGGAATCGAAGGAGTGATGTTGAAGCGCTTTAAGGCAAGATTGGTTGCTAGGGGTTCACTCAGAAAGAATATGTCGACTTAAATGATGTGTTCTCACCTATTGTAAAGCATAAATCCATTCGAATGCTGCTAGCCATGGTGGCAAAGTTCGACTAAAAACTTGAGCAAATGGATGTGAAGACAACATTTCTGTATGGTGACCTAGACGAAACGATCCTGATGCGTCAACCTGAAGGGTATGCAGAAAAGGATAAGGAAGATTATGTGTGCAAACTTAATAGGTCTTTGTATGGCCTGAAATAATCTCCTCGAGAGTGGAATAGGAGATTCAAAATGTTCATGTCACACATTGGCTTCACTAGGAGTCAGTTTAACCATTGTGTTTACTTCAGATTTCAACCTCGAAATTCACTTGTTATTTTGTTGCTTTATGTGGATGATATCCTCATAGGTAGTAATTGTGTCGAGGATGTAATGGAGGTGAAGACTAATCTCAGCAATGAGTTTGAAATAAAGAATTTGGGAGCTGCCACCAGGATTCTTATGATTGATATCCAAAGAGATAGAAAGCAGTTGGAGTTGTGCTTATCTCAAGAGACATACCTACATAAGCTTCTCGACAAGTTTGGCATTCAAAGCCTATTGTGACTCCAACAAATTCTCAATTTAAGTTTAGTACTACTCAAAGTCCGAGTACTAAAGCTGAAAGAATCTATATGAGTAGCATTCCATATGCTAGTGTAATAAATTCTTTGATTTATGTTATGGTCTGTACGAGGCCAGACTTAACGTATGGTGTGAGCCTTTTAAGCATGTATATGACTAATCCTGGAAAGGTGCACTGGTAAGTTGTAAAGTGGATTCTCAGGTACATAAATGGGTCTCTGAAAAGAGTCTTAATTTATGGTAGAACCTATGGTGATAGCAAAGTCGAAATCGAAGAGTTTGTTGATTCTGATTATGCAGTTTGTATGGATTCTAGAAAGTCTATTTCTAGATATGTGTTCACTATGTTCGGCACAACAATCAGTTAGAAAGCAACGCTTCAGAAGGTTGTTGCCTTATCAACCACTGAATTTCTCTCACTGAAGCTGTGAAAGAAGCATTGTGGCTTGAAGGTTTTGCAAAAAAGCTGAAACTTCAAGGTTGAAGTATCACTGTTAAATGTGATAGTTAAAGTGCAATACACCTGTCGAAAACCACAACTTAACATGAGCGAACCAAGCACATTGATGTGAGTCTGCACTTCATCAGAGAGATAGTCGAGCATGGTGAAGTCTAGGTGCTGAAGGTTTCTACTGATGACAATGCTGCTGATATGATCACCAAGACGTTGTCAAGTCGCAAGTTTTTCCACTTTATGCAATTGATAAAGCCGCATGATG